TAGACGGAACCCAGTACCATATGTTCTACCAGCTTTGTTAAGTCGGGGGAGAATAATTCAGACGATTCAAAACACTTCCTTAACATTAGTGTTCGAAATTAACACGACTCTGCTAGAATATAAATAAACTACACCTTTGAGAAAGTGGTTACACTGACATTTACTCCCGGAAATAAAGTTATCTTATTTAAAAATATATATCCACAAAATATAAATAATAAAATCCAAATGGAGCTCGGAACAATCCTTAATTTCCTGAAGCCGAGGCAATCTAGATTTGCCAAATCATTCTAGACTTGATTGGACTCCTTTTAAATATTTTTCTCTAGGGGCTAGGGTCTGGGAGACAGACTAGAAAGTGGTTAAATGTAACATATGTTATGGTTAAATGTAACATATGTTACATTTTGGGATTACATTTTCTATGTAAAGTACAATTTCTAAACTTCTAGTATTTGTTTGGGTGGAGTTCCATCCAAGATTCCCCACAATCCAGTTAACATAATAATACAATTGTAAATATATTAACGAAAATGAAATGATACTTACCAGTCTCCACGTCCCCTCTTTACTATGCTTGGCATCTTGGTGACATTTGGAAATCTCGTCAAAATACTTTTCTTTGATAAGAACAGGCAACTCCTTCGTGTCCTTCTTTGGCCTCTTCCGCCCATTATCCAAATCTTCCTCCTCTTCTTCGGTCTCTGCTCTCCTTCTTTGTCTATTTCTTCGTTGTATCTCCTGCTTTCTTCGTTTTTCTATCAACTTGTCAGGATTCGACAAAAGAACTTTAACCCCATCTAATCCTTGTTTCACTGAAAACCCCTTTGCCCAGTCCTTAAAGTGGGCATCGCCCGTTGGACAACGCTCATATTTTCGTGATTCAACAGCTTGAATTGTTTTTTCATACAACTCCTTGTCGATATATCTTTTTTCTTGATGGTTTTTGCCTGCTTTAGACTTATCAATTTCTAAGAGTTCATAAAATCTTTCTCGAGAGACAAGTGCTTCCATGGTGATGGGTCTGCCGAGCCATGACTTTCTGTTTTGAAGACACATGTTTTCAAGTTTCATTTAACAGTGGGAATTATGATTCTAATTTAGAATTAGGGGAATTGTAACTGTCAGAGTACATATTTAGGGAATTTATACGTCTATTTATATAAGGAGCGAGAGTCACCAGGTGATTCAGTATCACAGGCATATATGGCGTAATCAATATCACTGACCTACATTCCGACTGCATATTACAATGAACGACTTGTACATTAAGTAAAACCAGTCACTCGCATCACCCCCTCTTACAAAGGGGATGTTATTCTTACTTCCACTTAGTAATACATAACTGTATTCGTAAATACTTGTTTACCAAATACTTGGTCAGCCTAAACCAGAAAATACAGCTCAACATTATCATGTCGGGATTCCCCTTGTGGGAGTGAATCAACTTCCTCTTTCATTTCTAACAGTGTGCGTCTATACATTAACACAGGCAGGAGTCACAACACTTCAGTTTTACACTGCTAGTCGCTATCAGCCCAGAAACTGAAACACGGTTATGCACACTGATACATGTAATTGAAAAGAACTTCATGCATTGATGATGTTTGTATGAAACATTGACTAAATAATTCAGGAAGTGACGTGACTGAAAGTGACCATGACTTATCAGATATGACCTAAACATTCCTTGGTATTGAGTTAGAAAATTGTTTGAGAATGTCAGATCAGAATGTGTGCTAGATATTGGTCATCGGATCATGTTGGAAACTTATTAAAAAAATTAATAAAAACTATCTGACGTTTAGTCTCTTTACAAACAAACAGGAAGCACTCTATTAAAAACATTAAAAGTAGCTAAAATAAATTCACATTCGTAGGATTCTTTAGGGAAATATAATTATTAATTTTCTAATAATCCATCCATGCATTATGTACAGAACTGTGTGCAGATTGCTATATATCATTATGAAATATAATTTTATAGTTGGTTTTCGAGGCAGACCTTTAAAAATGGAACAAGAAAAAAATAAAATAACTCCTAACAATTTGGGGGGGGGGGGGGGTGTCTTTGAAGTGAAAAATAAAACACACAAAATTTTATCACCACTGTTCCCAAAACATGGTGAATAATGTGTAGAAATCTTTATTATAACCCAAAAACAATCCATTATCTATCGGTATCATTACACCATCATACTTCCATGAATGTGTTAACTACAAGTTTATTTTTCATTCATTAGTTTGTTTTGTTTGTTTGTTTGTTTGACATCATGAGCATCGATCCACGCAATTGGGATTAATGACATGCATCAACCCTGTCAAATTGATAATCAAGATCTATATTGTGATAAAACGGGTCTTACAACGTGAAATGCATCAAATCATGTGAGCACCTTGATTAAAAACATGAACAGATTTGGAAATTATCTATTAACAACGAGTTGACGGTGCACATGTTTTGCAAATCCTGCAATCGACCGAAATCTGCACAACAGTTTACGAACAGGATTTCGATTTCGGAGCGCGATTTTGATTTGACTATGCATAGACTCAATAGTCCAGCCAAAATGTAACTCCATAATACTAGCCTAGTTCGGCAAGGGTGGAAACTGGACTTTTAAAGTCAGTTAACTCTCTTGCCTCAGGAAGACGATCTGGAAGTGGAATTTAATTTTCTTCCGATCACCTACACTCAGTTTCAGTTCAATTTTTAAACCAACTAATAAGCTTAGGACAACATTAAAAAAAATATTATTGATTTTCTTGTAAAATTTCATGTTAAAATTTGATTAAGTCATAAACGTTCTTATGACTACAGTGGGGACGGGGAAATTATTAAGCAAGCTATGAGGAAACTATATTTGATACATTAACATAAAACACTTGAAAAAATGACAGTGTAAGAGAGCTTGGGAATTACTCAACATGGTCATCATAAGTTGTAGCAGTATCACAAGGGGTATATGTTGAGGGTAAAACACGACTCCAAAGTTCTGTTTGAAAATGTAAAACTGCAAGCAAGGGAAAGGCCCGAACAATACAGTTTGCCATGGTATAAAAGGAATTGTATCACAGTGTGCGAGAGCAAGGACATGTGCAGCATGCACACAACTGAAGTCATGACATGTAAAATTGAACACCCTTTCATCACCTGCTCCGATGAGGTTGTAGATTTGATTCACGTCATGCAATTTTCATGTAAACAAATTTGTGACTTTTAACCAATCAAAAATCGACATCATATTCATATCAAGAGGCCAGTTTATAAAATTTCATTTGTAAAACCTAGGTCTTACAATTCAAATGTAAAACCTCTTAGCCGGTCTGACATGAAAGTAATACCTCTCACAATGTTACCATGAGATAGGAAGATGCCTACGCAAGGCAACAGTGGCAGTAGGTTTATAAGTGACCTTGTGTGTCCTGTCCGCGTCAATGAAAGTCACAGGACACAGCACAAGTTTACCTCAACTCAATCGAACAGCTGTTTTCTATCAATTTTCAACTTGTTTTCATGTGTTTACAATGGCAGATTGAAACATGTCGGCAAGATAAATTCGTCGTAGCAGTAGGCCTTACATTGATAGATACATTCATGTACAATTGATAGAAAATTGATGTAAATTTGATAGAAAATTGATGTAAAATTGATAGAAAATCCATGTAAATTTGATAGGAAACTGATGAAAAATTGATGTTCAATTTATGGAAAACAGCTGTAATAGTAAGCTGAGGTCGACTTGTGCTGTGTCACATGACTTTCATTTACTCGTAAAATATGTGAAGCTTTTTCTTTCATTGCAGAGTGCAAGAGTACTTTTACCCCACTCTGGCGTGATACGTAGTATTTTATGAAGATCAATGAATCAGTTGGATCTCAACATCCTCACATGGAGGTAAAATACAGGAGCATGTTAGCCTTATGACTAAAATACTGAACTATGCTGAAAACTGTTCTTTGAAATTGTGTTTGTTTGTTTGTTGTCTAATGCTGCACTCAGCAACATTCCAGCTATATGATGGCAGTCTGTAAATAATTGAATCTGGACCAGACTATAAATTGATTGATATGATGATTTGATGAACATCAATCCACATACCGTATTCGATGTAATACGTGCCGGGGGCGCTCTCAAAATTAGGAATAGGGGGCTCTTATTAGAATATTATTTTGGTTGAAAAAAACAGAGTTGAAAGATAAATTTTGTGGTTTAAGCTGACAACCTGAAATGTTCATGTACGACAAATATATTTTTCCAGAATTAAATTGCCCATAATTAAGGGTGCACATAACACACGAGTGTGTATCATACACGAATAAATAAGTCTTGTGTACATTGATCAGTTGGAACGGGTGCTAATTGGGATTGTTCACTTGCCAATATATTAACAAATATCGCCCTGGGCGCTTATTCGAGCGGGGCGCTTATTACGTTGAATACGGTAATTGGAATATGATAACATGCATCAGCCAAGACAAGTGAGCCTGACCACCCAATTCCAAGCCTGACTGAATGATCCTGAAATGTTAGTCGCCTCTTTCGACATAAATATGCTTCACGGAAGCTGCAGTTAGGATGAGTGAGTGAGTGAATGAGTGAGTGAGGGGAGGGAGTGAGGGGAGGGAGTTTAGGAAGTGTTTCTTGCTGAAGTCATGTATTGGCGACAGAGGACTATTAGCCAGCGAGACTAATTACAACCACTATGGAAACTCATATGCTATGCTGCCCAGAACATCAAGAGTTTCAACACAATATGAAATAAAAAATTTGCATCACCATAAATCCTTGAATAAGTACTGGGTCGACCCACAACTCCAAAGGAATGCATGCATGCTTTAAAAAAATACCTGGTCTAAGTATTCTCTTAAAACTTTAAAAAAAGAGCCATTTAAAAATATTAACCTCGGGTTTTGAGGACATACCACGACAAACACTGATGCTTATTCAAGGATTTAGGATTTTGAACAGGATTCATAACAATTTCTTTATAGTAACCTTGAGTTTGAGCACCCTCAGTTTTACTCTCCTGGTCTTCGCTATCTTCGCTGTGTTCATTATTAATCAGCCTCCTCTTCTTGAAAGGCAGCGACTTATTGTCCTGTTTCTGTCTGTCGCCACTGTTTAAGTCTGTATGAAATAATGATATGCTGCTGAGAGTCGGCAGTGTGCCCAGTGATGGAATGTTCAAACTGGGTAAAGTCAAAGATAATGTACTTGGTAAACTAGGAATATTTGACACAGTGCTACTTGCATTTGTAACCTGGGGTTCTAGCACTGGCATTTCACTACTTTCTGAACTCGTATTTTTCCGCTTCGTCCTTGTCTTTGTGGGCGTTTCTGGCTCAGGCTGACCTGATTTCGATTTTCTCCTCGGTGACCGTTTAGGAGCTTGCTCCTGTGCACCCCCTTTCGATTTGGACGCAACACGACTTGGTTTATTTCGGGCGGTATCCGTCACGCTGCTTTTTGTCGTGTCATGATTTGTCCTGGCACGTGACCTAGATTTTTTCGCTTCTGAATTCGACATTTTATCACCTTGGTTTATTTTCCTACCCCTACCTCTGCCTCCACCTCGCGTTCCCCTGCTAGCAATCCTTTTGGAAGTCCGAGGCGAGGCTGGGGAATCCCCAGGATTGACGCGCACAACAGACGACAAGGCAGACATTGCCTCCGCGGCCGCCATTCTGTCCGCAAGCTCCTTCTCATCGATGTCAACCTCCATGTTGGTGGAAATAACGATCCTAAAACACTCTTTTTTGTGGAAACTTGTAGGAAATTCAACTAAAGTGGCTGTCATTGTTGAGGAGGGACACCCTCAAATCCAATTTCCTCTTCAATCGAACCATGGACGAAGCTCGTAATTCTAACAAACGTAAAATCCCAAGGAAACATGGTTCAGGAAAGCACCGACCTGAGCAGGAGGGAAAGTCCCAGGGAACACGTGACCACGCGCAGCCAATCAAACCTACGTATTGCGAATAATTGGGGATTCCCCCGGTGCATTAGGGACTTACGTGGCAGATATAAATAGAAAATATTCATTTCAGCGAGACGGAGTCGCCATATTGCGCAAGGCAAAATAGGTGTTTCACGGGCTTGTTTCACGTGAGACGAAGAAGTACAGTTTATTTCAGGTCCACTTAGTATATTCTTTCCTCAGGTTGTCTGCGTGTGTTGTATTCAAAGAGATGTTACTAAATTCGCCATTTTCACTACAAAGTTATCTCCCCTCGTCCTAAGCGACATATGGCTTGCGTGGAAAAACCAGTTTTGTATTTTCGGAGGTCGAAAACATGGCGGATGTCAGTTGTGCAATATTGGGGAGCGCTGTTCAAGCTAATCTTTCGAATATGTTGATTCCATATATTTATGTAATTATGTATATTATCTCATCATCTTTGTGATAAAATTCAAGCGAAAAATATAAAAGCTGGTGAATTCATAAATACAGTAACGGCCCACGTATATATAAATGCTCTGACCGCCTGGCCTGCTGTTTCTGCGTATTTGAATGTGAATGTCTGATGCATTAGGCCTATAGCACGAGGGTTGAATACATCCTGTTTTCCTGGAAATAGCGACAATGACCTATATATATCAAACTGAGACCAGACCAACGTCAATAGCTATTTTTGCTGAATGATGTTTTTATTGAATTTATTTCTCTATTATTTTATGCAGATGTGTGTGTGTGTGTGTGTGTGTGTGTGTGTGTGTGTGTGTGTGTGATAGAGAGAGAGAGAGAGAGAGAGAATATTTGATTTTTTTATCCCGACTTTCTCTTTTAATCTTAAAATAGAAAAGCACAAATCGTAGCAAGCCATGCAAAAGCGAATATAGCTCCTTATATACCCAGTATGTATAATCTTATCGCTGGATAAACGCTGACCTAACACAGCTAGGTTAACACTGGTCGCAAACAGGATGTAAGAGACATGGCCACTTGGGATACTGTCGTAATACCTCTTGATATTGCGACATTGAACGTGTATTCCAGGAACTGCATCAATGCACTTGTAAACTTCCCAGCAAATTTAGTAAATAACTCGTGGTCTGAAGAGGTTCCTCAGAAATCTTTTTCATAAAAAATTATATATATATATATATTATTAATGTTGTCTAAATTTCAACACAAAAGTAGTAAACACAATCATACATATGATTTATATTTTGTGTGTCAATATTTTTACGCGAGCGTGAATTAAATGCGAAAACTGGGTGTGATCTTTGTTCGCATTAACTAATATAAACTTCGCATTTATGTCTCCGAAATGACTATCAATAACAAGACGGCATCACTGCACACTTATGATAGCGGAAATACAAACTTGAATATGAACACAAACACGGTTTATTGAATATCAGTTGTAACAAGTATGTAACAATGTCATTCAAAGAATAGGAATTACACAATGGGCATCCGGTAAGTTATCACAGCTGGTCAAGAGTTCAACCAACTCGTGTCAAACTAGGCACCACCGAGCACTTCATCACACTAAAGGAAGAGGATATATGGATGTCAGCTTCTTTATTATGCTGAACAGAACGTTTCGGAGTATATGCTTGCTCCTTGATCAGGCGAAGGAATGCCAGAGAGCATATATATGTACATGTAAGGACAACAAAATTAATAAGGTAACAAGGTAACAGCTAAGATCGTCGGAAGCGTGACTAGTTCATATCAGTAGATGAGGCTTTAACCACGAGGCTACCCCTTTTAAAGTCAGTTAACTCTCTTGCCTCAGGAAGACATCTTTTACCCGAACTCCATTAAGACGATATGGCGCAAAGAATACTCTTTCCAAACTGATCTATTTTCGGTTAAGGACCTGGACCTCGAATATATTTTTTCTACATTCTCAAAATATCGGTATCGCACATGCCCCAGCCACGACACAGTTATATGAAACTAAATGCATGCATTCAAGATCTGGGTTAGAATTGGTATCAGCAAGTTCACCCATGCTTTTTGTAAGACTTGGTTGATTTATGTCATCGTATCTAGGCCGATTGCGTGGATCGATGCTCATGATGTCAATCACTGGATTATTTACAGACCGCCGTCATATAGCTGGAATATTGCTGAGTGTAGCGTTAAACGACAAACACAAAGAAAAAACGTGGGTGTGGATGTACGGTTGTGGGTGTGGATGTACGGTTGTTGGTGTGGGATACGGTTGTTGGTGTGGGATACGGTTGTGGTTGTGGATGTTCGGGTGTGTGTGTGGATGTACGGGTGTGGATGTGGGATACGGTTGTGTGTGTGTGGATGTACGGTTGTGGGTGTGGATATACGGGTGTGGATGTGGGATACGGTTGTGTGTGTGTGGATATACGGTTGTGGATGTTGGATATCGTTGTTTGTGTGTTGATAAAAGGGTGTGGATGTGGATATACGGTTGTGGATGTGGATGTACGGTTGTGGGTGTGGATGTACGGTTGTGTGTGTGTGGATATACGGTTGTGGATGTGGGATACGGTTGTGGGTGTGGATATACGGGTGTGGATGTGGGATACGGTTGTGTGTGTGTGGATATACGGTTGTGTGGGTGTGGATATACGGTTGTGTGTGTGTGGATATACGGTTGTGGATGTGGGATACGGTTGTGAGTGTGGATATACGGGTGTCGATGTGGGATATCGTTTGTGTGTGTGGATATACGGTTGTGGGTGTGGATGTACGGTTGTGGGTGTGGATGTTGGGTTGTGGGTGTAGATGTGGGATACGGTTGAGGGTGTGGATGTACGGCTGTGGGTGTGGATGTACGGGTGTGGGTGTGGATGTACGGGTGTGGGTGTTGATGTACGGGTGTAGATGTACGGTTGTGTGTGTGGATGTACGGTTGTGTGTGTGGATGTACGGTTGTGTGTGTGTGGATGTACGGGTGTAGATGTACGGTTGTGTGTGTGGATGTACGGTTGTGTGTGTGGATGTACGGGTGTGGATGTGGATGTACGGGTGTGGATGTAGATGTACGGTTGTGTGTGTGGATGTACGGTTGTGTGTGTGTGGATGTACGGGTGTAGATGTACGGTTGTGTGTGTGGATGTACGGTTGTGTGTGTGGATGTACGGGTGTGGATGTGGATGTACGGGTGTGGATGTAGATGTACGGTTGTGTGTGTGGATGTACGGTTGTGTGTGTGTGGATGTACGGGTGTAGATGTACGGTTGTGTGTGTGGATGTACGGTTGTGTGTGTGGATGTACGGTTGTGTGTGTGGATGTACGGCTGTGGATGTGGATGTACGGGTGTGGGTGTTGATGTACGGGTGTAGATGTACGGTTGTGTGTGTGGATGTACGGTTGTGTGTGTTGATGTACGGGTGTAGATGTACGGGTGTGGATGTGGATGTACGGGTGTGGATGTAGATGTACGGTTGTGTGTGTGGATGTACGGTTGTGTGTGTGGATGTACGGTTGTGTGTGTGTGGATGTACGGGTGTAGATGTACGGTTGTGTGTGTGGATGTACGGTTGTGTGTGTGGATGTACGGTTGTGTGTGTGTGGATGTACGGGTGTAGATGTACGGTTGTGTGTGTGGATGTACGGTTGTGTGTGTGGATGTACGGTTGTGTGTGTGTGGATGTACGGGTGTAGATGTACGGTTGTGTGTGTGGATGTACGGTTGTGTGTGTGGATGTACGGTTGTGTGTGTGTGGATGTACGGGTGTAGATGTACGGTTGTGTGTGTGGATGTACGGCTGTGGATGTGGGTGTACGGTTGTGTGTGTGTGGATGTACGGGTGTGGGTGTACGGTTGTGTGTGTGGATGTACGGTTGTTGGTGTAGATGTACGGTTGTGTGTGTGGATGTACGGCTGTTGGTGTGGATCTACGGTTGTGTGTGTGTGGATGTACGGGTGTAGATGTACGGTTGTGTGTGTGGATGTACGGCTGTGGATGTGGATGTACGGTTGTGTGTGTGTGGATGGACGGTTGTTGGTGTAGATGTACGGTTGTGTGTGTGGATGTACGGTTGTTGGTGTAGATGTACGGTTGTGTGTGTGTGGATGTACGGCTGTGGATGTTGATGTACGGCTGTGGATGTGGATGTACGGTTGTTGGTGTGGATGTACGGTTGTGTAAGTGTGGATGTACGGGTGTGGGTGTACGGTTGTGTGTGTGGATGTACGGTTGTTGGTGTAGATGTACGGTTGTGTGTGTGGATGTACGGTTGTTGGTGTAGATGTACGGTTGTGTGTGTGGATGTACGGGTGTGGATGTACGGTTGTGTGTGTGGATGTACGGGTGTTTGTGTGGATGTACAGTTGTGGGTGTGGATATACGAGTGTGGATGTGGGATACGGTTGTGTTTTCGGATATACGGGTGTGGATGTGGGATGTAGGGTTGTTGGTGTGGATGTACGGTTGTGGGTGTGAATATACAGGTGTGGATGTGGGATACGGATGTGGATGTGGGATGCGGTTGAGAGTGTGGATGTACGGTTGTTGGTGTGGATGTACGGTTGTCGGTGTGGATGTACGGTTGTTGGTGTGGATGTACGGTTGTCGGTGTGGATGTACGGTTGTTGGTGTGGATGTGCGGTTGTCGGTGTAGATGTACGGTTGTTGGTGTGGATGTACGGTTGTCGGTGTGGATGTACGGTTGTTGGTGTGGATGTGCGGTTGTCGGTGTAGATGTACGGTTGTTGGTGTGGATGTACGGTTGTTGGTGTGGATGTACGGTTGTTGGTGTAGATGTACGGTTGTTGGTGTGGATGTACGGTTGTCGGTGTGGATGTACGGTTGTTGGTGTGGATGTACGGTTGTCGGTGTAGATGTACGGTTGTGGGTGTGGGATACAGTTGTTGGTGTGGATGTACGGTTGTGTGTGTGGATGTACGGTTGTGGGTGTGGGATACAGTTGTTGGTGTGGATGTACGGTTGTCGGTGTGGATGTACGGTTGTTGGTGTGGATGTA